TGTCGCACCACCAGACGTGTCGGTAGGGCGGGCGGGGCGTTTCGCTTGAGATCTCCTCAACGCTTACTGCCGACAGTAGTGTTAAGTCGGGCGTGTCCCTCTACAGGAGGAATTTTCAAAAATAGTAGAAAAATTGTCAGGGGACGATTTGTTGACTAGGTTTGCCCATTTGGGGGGTTATTTTTTAGTATTTCATTTTTATGTTTCCAAAGCCCCCCTGTAGGGGGGCATGCCCGACCTAACAGTAGTGCGACAGCAACATTGCAAGAGACGGTGCAGGGCGGATATCTGTATCGCGAGAAGTGTGCGTGGCTGGTTCGCAGAACAGAGGTACAAGAGGCCAGGAGGCATTACACTGGGAAGTTAAAGCAAAAGTAAGATACTGGGGTGGAAGGACAATCACCTCGGCAGAAGCAACGAAATGATGGAGCATGGGCAAGATAAGATTATACAGGCGGAAACGCAACAGCAGCCCCCTCAGGAGCCCTCGAAAGTGGCGACAGATTCGCATTTCGCAGCCCAGCAGGGATGACGAGGTCCTGTTTGGATCTGCGTGGGGCCCCATTGTGCTGACCCGCTGCTGCAGCAGCCTTCGAAAATGACGACAGTTCCACACTTCGCAGCCCCCCAGGGATGGCGAGGTCCTGTTTGGATCTGCGTAGGACCCCAGTGTGTTGGCCCCCCCAACAGCCCTCGAAAGACGCGACAGGTTCACACTTCGCAGTTCCCCCCCTGGGATGGCGAGGTCCGGTTTGGATCTGCGTGGGACCCCACTGGTGGCACCCGTGGCGACGGTTTCACACTTGACAGCCCCACCCATGGATGGCGAGGTCCTGTTTTGATTTGTGTGGGACCTCTCTGTGTTGGCCCCCCCAGCAACCTGCGAAAGTGGCGACAGCTTCATATTTCGCAGCCCCCCCCAGGGATGGCGAGGTCCCGTTTGGATCTGCGTGGGACCCCCCCCAGCAGCCCTCGACAGTGGCGACAGGTTCACACTTCGCAGCCCCCCCCCAGGGATGGCGAGGCCCCGTTTGGATCTGCGTGGGAACCATCTGTGCTGGCAACCCCAGCAGCCTTCTAAAGTGGCGACAGGTTCAGTCTTCGCAGCACCCCCCAGGGATGGAGAGGGCCTGTTTGGATCTGCGTGGAACCCCACTGTGCTGGCCCCCCCAGCAGCCTTCTGAAGTGGCCATAGTTTCACACTTCGCAGCCCCCCCTAAGGATGGCGAGGTCCCCTTGGGATCTGCGTTGGACACTGTGTTGGCCCCCCCAGCAACCTGCGAAAGTGGCGACGGTTTCACACTTCGCAGCCCCCCCCCCCCCAAGGGATGGCGAGGTCCCCTTTGGATCTGCGTGGTACCCTTCTGTGTCGATCCCCCCAGCAGCCCTCGAAAGTGGCGACAGATTCACGTTTCGCAGCCCCCAAGAGGGATGCGAGAGCAGAGAGACGAGAGGAGAGCGGGGGGGAGGAGGAGGAGGAGGAGGAGGAGGAGGAGGAGGAGGAGGAGGAGGAGAAGGGAACCAGCGACCCCACTGCTCTATTCGAAGCGAGAACCCAACCAAGGGAAGGTTGGCAAAGAAGGTCTGTTGGGACTACTGATGAGGAGACTTGCGACGAGAGGGTATCATGCAGCATCGCTGACCAGTTGTGTATACCAAGTTGCATATGGTACTAGGCATTTTCGTGTCCTTGCCAGTCGTGCAAGTGCCGCCTCTTTGTTGAGCCCCCGAGAGGTTCAGCGGAGTGATGCCCCACGCAGATCGAATCGGACCTCGTTTCCCATGTGTGCTGCAAGGGGCGCGAATGTCGTCACATGGATGCGCCCCTGAGACCTCGAGCAGAGTGGTGCCCCACTCAGATCAAGCGGGTTCTGGCCCTCCCTGACCTCGCCCTCCTTGGATGCTGCCAGTCACGCAACTACCGCCGCTTTGATGCGCCCCTGAGAAGTCCAGCGGGATGAGGCCCCTGGGTGCTGCCAATTGAGCGACTGTCGCCACCTTGCTGCGACCCTGAGAGGTACAGCGGGATGTCTGGCGGATCCATCGTCTTTGCTACGGGCCGTGCTCTCGGGAGCATGGATCGATTTCTGCTGCCGTGGGTCGTGGCTTCGGGAGCGCGGATCCACGGGGGTCACGGCCCCAGGAGCGCGGATCCGCTGTTTTTTTTTTTGCGAGGACCCCTGGGCTCTTGTTCCAAGGAGCCGTGGCATCGAGGGCGCGGGCTCGTCGGCTCCTTCTGCTCTAGAGGGAGGCTGGCCTCGGGGGCGCGGATCCGCTGTTCTGGCCTCGGTGGGCGCGGGCCCACCGCCTTCTTCGAAGACGCGTGGCCCCGGGCCGTCGGTCTCCACCTGAGGATCGCGGCCTCGGGAGCGCAGGTCCACGTCGGTGTGGCTTGGCATCGCTCGGACGTGGGCGTTGATCCTCGGCGAGACCATCGACGAGCATCCGGGATCACCTCGCGAAAAAAATAACGTACGAAGCCGAAACATGCACACGGAATCGGCGTCCGAGCGACGGCAAGGTGGCCCAGGGCACCCAGAGATTGCGAGGACGTGGTCCGGAGAGGGAGAGGTGCTCTCGGGCCCACGGAAGCAACGTGGGTTGATCGCCCCCTTTTCGAGCACAGTCACAGCACCAGCCCGGTGCAGAGGCTGTTCTCCTCCTTTTCCTCCTCCTCCTCCTCCTCCTCCTCCCCCTCCTCCTCCTCCTTTTCCCAATTCCAAGCTGAAACACCTCCGTTCCTTTTCCTTATAAATACTTTCTCCCTGTCGCACCCCGAGGCCAGTTTTTTTTCAGGGCGGGCCGGGCGTTTCGCTTCCGATTTCGTTACCACTTACGATTCTGAAGTTTAAACAGTGACAACAGCTCCACAGATGGAGGGCGGATGGTTTTCAAAATGTGGCTCTCGCCTTTGCGCGGCGCACACTCGTTGCAAAAATGTGCAAGAGCTTCACGGATTGAGGGCGGGTCGTTTTCAACATGTGGATCGCGCCTTAGCGCGCCGCACATTCGCTTCAAAAAAATCACTCGTTCACGGATTGAGGGCGGGTCGTGTTCAAAATGTGGTTCTCGCTTTAGCGCGGTGCACATTCGTCTCAAGTAATTGCAAGAACATAACGGATCGGAGGCGGCTCCTTTTCAAAATGTGGTTCTCGCCTCAGCGCCGCGCACATTCGTTTACAAAGGTTGGAAGAGTTTCACGGATTCCCATCATCAACGTACCAGAAATGGTATTTTGAAAAGATTCAGGATTACGCGGGCACAACAGTTACGTTGAGTCGTTGTGTTGAGGTCCCAAGAATGGCGTTCTAACACGATTCAGGATCGTCAACATTCAAAGGTCAGGTTGATCCGTGGCGTTGGAATCCCGAGAACAATGTTTTGGCATGATTCAGGGTCTTCAAACGGTTGTCTTCCAACGAGGCAGTTCCCTCAATGGACATGAAACGTTGTTTGGGGCCTATGATGTGAAAAGGGAGCTTGGAGGGTGTGCTTATTCCAACGTAGTTGATGACTCTTGCGCTTACACTGGTCCTCTTCATACTCATCCTTTTCCTCCTCATCTTCCTCCTCCTCCTACTCCTCCTCCTCCAGATCCATATCCACATTAAGATCCATATCCTCCTCCTCCTCCTCCTCGTCCTCCTCCTCCTCCTCCTCTTCCTCCTCCCCCTCGTCCTCCTCCTCCTCCTCCATGCCTTGTCCTTATAAATACTTTCTCCCTGTCGCACCCCGAGGCGAGTTTTTACGGCGGGCCTGGCGTTTCGCTTTAGATTTCCTCACCATCTATGATTCTGAAGCCTAAACAATGGCAACAGTTTCACAGATGGAGGGCGGGTCGTTTTCAAAATGTGGTTATCGCCTTAGCGCGGCGCACATTCTATGTAAAAAATGCAAGAGCGGCACGGGATGAGGGCGGGTCGTTTTCAAAATGTGGTTCTCGTTTTAGTGCCGCGCGCATTCGTTGTAATAGAATGCAAGAGCTTCACGGATTGAGGGCGGGCCGTTCTCAAAATGTGGTTCTCGCTTTTGCGCCGCGCACATGCGTTTCAAAAATTGCAAGAGCTTCACGGATAGAGGGCGGGTCGTTTTCAAAATGTGGTTCTCGCCTTGGCGCCGCGCGCATTCTTTTTGGCCATTTGCAAGAGCTTCACGGATTGAGGGCGGTACCTTTTCAAAATGCGCTTCTCGCTTTAGCGCCGCGCACATTCGTTTTAAACATTTGATAGAGCTTCACGGATAGAGGGCGGGTCGTCTTCAAAATGTGGTTCTCGCCTTAGCGCCGCGCACACTCATCTTAAACATTATAAGAGTTTCGCGGGTTCCCATAATCAACCTACCAAAAACGGCGTTTTAAAACAATGTTGGACTATGCGGGCGCAGCAGTTATGTTGATTCGCGGTGTTGAAGTCCCAAGAAAAAGCCTTTTGGCACGGTTCCAGATCGTCAGGACGCAGCAGTAAGGTTGATCCGTGGCGTGGAAATCCCGAGGCAGTTCCCTCAATGGAAATGAACCGTTGTAGGGGCCTATGAAGAGGGAGCTTGGAGGGAGGGTTAATTCGAACATCGTTGATGACTCTTGCACTGCTTTCACTTGATTCGTGTCGTCTGCAGCATACCGCCAGCAAAACCGAATGCTGGAACACCTAGAATCTGACCTCCTGAGAAGCTGAGCAGGTCCGTGCTCTGCGATCTGGTGGCTGAGCTCGTAAAGAGTCACGAATGACACAAAACTTTTGAGCTCCTGAAACACAATGCCAGCATGCCATCTGCTTGATCGCACTGGAGACGGCCAAGCTGGTCAGTTGCTGAAGCCTCAGACGTGCAGCCAGGTGGCCCCTATACGGTAGGTTCGTGCGGCGTTGGCGCGCCGGCGACGCTGGCGAAGGCGTTCAAGAATGAATTTCGCGACGCGGAAGCATCGATGTACACGGTGACGCCACTGGACCCGACTGTTTTGAACCCTGAACGATCGGGGCCGCGATCGATTCCAGGTGGAACGATCGACGCGGTGTCAGAGACCTTTGCGCGCGCCGACGCCGCACGAACCTACCGCAAGGGGGTCTGGCGGATCGTCCAGGTCGCTGCCAGCTCAGCGGTGATCGGCGGCAAGGGTTCAGAGGTAGTGCGCGCCGCCGGGCCGACGACGCCTTCGACTCGGGAGTGCGTGGCACCATACGAAATGGGCGGCTGTGCCTTCAGCGCACAGGTTCTGGCGGGCTGGTCGAGGGCCACGGCTTCGAGCCCCATGCGTCTTGCGCAGTGGGAGTTGGATCCTGCGGCTTCGGCCACCGTGGTGCTCTTCTACCTGCCGCTCGGGCTGGGCAGCGACGCTCAGCTGAGACGCTGGGAGAGTGAGTTCCCAGAAGCCTCGCGGTCGTCAGGCCCCACCATTTCAGGCACCTTCGACGTGTCGAAGAAGGCGCCCGTGCTGCTCAGCATTGCTGGAGGCTGGAACGGCGGGGGGCCCTCCGGGGCACCGAAAGATGCAGCTCTCAAGGCAGGCTACGGATTACGCGCCGCCATTGTTCCCGGCATTGCCGCGGTTGGCAGCGAGAGGCAGATGGCGTTCTTCATCAAGGCAGTCGGCCCAGAGGGAATTTTGAGAGCAAACGCTGCCAAGTTTGAAAGCTTTGTCGCCAGCGTGCGGACAGCCTGATTTTGTTTGGTGCGTTGGAGACGCAGCTATATGCGCGTTTTATCAAAAAGCTACACGACGAATTCCACCATCATGCACCCCATTGGTCCGCCGCTTTGGTTGCGCCTTGCGACAGCAACCTGTAGCAATGTCAGGGCGAACAGATGCTGTGGCATCAAAGTCACCGTCGTGCCACGACGATCCTGTCGGTAGAAGGTCACGAGGGCCATGCCGTAAAACAAAAGAAGAGCTCATCGAACGGGAGGTGCGAGAGGCCCCGACGGCGGGCAATCATGCTGGTTCAAGGCCATGCGAGGAACGGCGAGGTCCTCTCTGACTTGCCTCGAATCTTCTCACGCTACTACCCGTTTTCTCTACGCACATTCGGGATAGTCGTCTGGCACCGTCAGCGCGTCACGCGCAACCCCCAGAAGGAGGAGGGGGAGGAGGAGGAGAGGGAGGAGGAGGAGGAGGAGGAGGAGGAGGAGGGTGAAGACCCTCGGACCCTGAGTGCAGCGCACAAGGCCTGCGCAGGGGCTGACGCCAGGGCTTTCTGGAAAAATGTCTGCGGCCTCCCTGGGTCCATTCCGATCCGATTCGGTATCGATTCTGGCTGGCTCGATGCGAGTCGATTCCGATAGTCCGACGACCCGACGCGGCCAGGTGTTTGCCTGGTGCTGTTGCGCATCTTTGCGCAGCCGATCCGATCCGATCTCGATGACGTGCCGATGCAGCCCGATCCACGCACGTTCCGAGTCGATCCAGTGTCCCGATTCGATGTTGGACGATCCTGCTTGTCGGGCCCTCCGTGAATGGGGGGAGGTGGGGTCGCCCGTGTGCTGCGCGTAGTGGTCATCAAAGCCTCGTGTCATGGCACCGCGGGCGCAGGACGCAGCAGAGAACGGCGAAACATCCGAGAACGCGACGACGACCATATAATATTGGAAGAGGGTGATAGCACACCAGCCTTCAGAGAAAACCAAGCAAATTACGGATGAGACTGGACGCCTGATCCCAGTTGTTGGGTGCTTGCCTTCAGAGAGCCGGTCCTTGTCTCGCGCCAGCCGGGCAGGGTTTGGGGGGGCTTCGTTGGGCAGGGGTCACCGAGGGCCTCGATCTTGGCCGAGCCCGAGGCACTTCGGGCCTCGCAGGGCCCACAGAACAGGAAGGACCCTGCCCTGTCAATATGGTGCCCGCCGCACACGAGTGGACCCCCACCCGCCTCCGCACCCAAACTGGCAGCCGCAGCGGTACAGGCAGCCTCCCCCCCCCCCGGCATGCTGGCGCCAGCCGAGCCGCTCGGCAAGAGCAGCAAGCTGGCGCAGCATCGGCCAGGGCTCACACCTAGCCCCTGGCTTGAGCAAAGACTTGCCACTGGCTGGTGTCTGAGCAACCGCCAAACATTGCCTGCACTGCAACGCCGAGGAACCAGGAGCCAGGGGCACGGTACCGTGAGCAACAATAACCAGCCTCGGCCGTTCTTCCATGGGCGGCTGTGAAGGGACTGGGGCAGCACCAGAAACATCTGGCCGAGCACAACTAATCTGAACCGCTAGGGCCAGAAATTGGCATGACAACTTGCACTCTGTAACGCCTCCTGGAGGGACGCGGCCGCAACGTCGGCAAACAGCAACGTCAAGGGCTCCAAGCTTGGCGAAGAAGTCCGCCCGAGCATTACCCATGAACCTCCAAATTTCGCCAGCACACGCTCCTTGCTCAATTAACCTCTTCAAACAGAGGTGCGCAGGAGTCGAGTGGAACTCGGGGCACATAGCATGGCGAGCACAAGCACGAAATATGCTGCGCCAAATCGACGCGTGCGGGGCAAGGCCATGCTCAAGGTTGAGATCCCAACCTTGCCCCTCGTGAACAAACGAAAGGTGATCACCAATCATGGCGGGAGGCTGGTCTCCAGCAGGCCCCAGGGAAACAGCATCGAGCCCAGCCCACCTTTCGGGCCGCGGGACCGACTGGAAGCGCCCTGGGAGCCCGCCGAACCTGGCTCTCAAGGCCCAGCCGTCCTCGGAAATCTCGACAACGCTCCAGCCACATCGAGCGGCTTCGGGCACCACATTGTGCAGCCCCGACCCGTCAGTGAAACAATATTATCTACCCCAGGGACCTTCCGCGAGACCCCAGAAGAGCACCGGCGGCCGAGCTAAGGGAGGGGGCAACTGGATGGGGAGCGAGGGAAGCCCGTAGAGGAGAGGAACGCGATCCCAATCAGGAGGACCGATGTTGACATCGCACCCTTTCTCCCACAAGGCCTGCCCACACGCCCAAACATCTTCGGGAAAACCTCTGCTGCCCGCCTCCTCCTCCCCAGACACGAAGGCACACGAGCAATCACAGAGTTGGTGGCCAAGTGTGCCGTGGGGGGCCCGGCAGAGAGTGCAAGCAGCAGACGGGACCAGCCCAGCCGCATACCTGCGAGCTGGTGGCCACAGCCCTCCAGGCGAGAGCGCACGGAGCGGCCCCTGCCGGCCACCCGCGGGGAGGGCCAGCATCGCGAGGCGCGCCGCTCGAGCCCAGCAATGCTCGGAGCCCGTCGCTTCTGGCCAGTGGAAGGGGACACTGCGCCAGAGCCAACGCTCCACACCATCGCGCAACAGATTGCGGACCTCGCACGGCGAATACACATTCAGCGAGGTGTGGTCTCCGAGGTCGGAGGTGAGGAGGTGGGGAGCGGCCATGTCCCGCACGACCCGGCGAAGGGAGAGACGAACGGCAGAAATCGGCCCAAAGCATTGCCTCCAGGTCCCCTGGGCTCCGAGCTTATCCCGGATTGTGCTCCAAGCCCTCATCAACATACTAGGGGAAGTCCTACCATCCCAGAGCCAACATGCATACCTGGCGACAAGGCGGCAGGTGGCATCAAAAGTGGTAACATACAGCTTATCATTTTGCGTGCACGTATAAACTGTAAGGGAGGCCAGGCAACGCCTAGCGCCTACCAGCCCCCCTGCAAAAGAACGGAGTTTCATGAGAGTGGAGTCAGTGAGGCCTACACCAGCCCCATGGCTACCCGACGGCAAAACCCCCGTGCGCCACAGAACCCAGACGTTCAGACCCCCAGCCCTCCTAAGGCGCGAAGCCGGCCCCGCCTCCTAAGCACCGCCCCCAACCTCTTCCTCTCAAGGGCTCTGTGCGCGGTGCATCCAGCAAAGGTATCGTGGCCAAGATTCCGCGCCGCCCGAAACGCCTGGAGCTTCAGCATGGCCGCTCTCGACTTCACAGCACGAGCTGCTTCCGTCGAGGCCGCAAGATGACCGGACTTGGAGGCCTGCAACAGAAACCCTAGCTGGCGGGTGTAGCCGGCGAAAGCCGTGACAGCATTAAAGACAACCCTAGCATACTTAGCCAGGCTTCCTATCCAGTGAAACGACACATCATCCATGAGGCCTCGGGGCACCACACATTCGAACTCCCTCTTGAGCCTCTGAAGAGGCCGAAGGAGGAGGACCTGCATGAGGGTGGTGGCGTGGGAGCAGCCCGCCAAAATTCCTTGGAAAGACGTGTAGGAACGGCTCAGGGAATTGAAACCTTTGAGGCGCCGAGGCTGCCGATAGCTACACACCAGCATCCACGCTAAACGCACAGGAAATCCTACAGCAGCAGCCTCGGCCATCACAGCGCTAAGCAAGACAAGCTCATAACATTTCATCGTGTCGATCAGAACTGTCACACAATGCTGGCCAGTGTTCCGAGCGACCTCAGTCTCCAAATTGTGAGACGAAGCACAATCGAGACTGAAACGCCCTGGACCAGAGCCCCACAGGAGCTCACTACGATGCCCCCCTCCCGCTCCACCGAAACAGGCCGTATGCATGAGGGCAATCAGCCTGTGTTCACCAGGCTTGTCCGGCTTCGGCGGCCTCCGTCCTCGCGGCCAGCAGCAGAGCTGTTCGCACAACGTGAAGAGAAGCGCCACCGCCTGCAGCGCCTGGTCGCTCAGGTGCCACAGACTGCACGAAGACATGCGCCCAGGACCATGGCCGTCTTGGCAGAAAACTTGCGCACGGCAGCGAGGACCTCAACATGCGAGATCGTCGGCAGAGGCTCCCACGACTCCGCCTCGGGCGGCAGCTCCATCTTCACGCAGCCGTGGGTCGTCCAGACCGTGGCCCAGTCATCCAGGCAGTCGTCCACTAGCTCATACGGCTGGCTTCCTGTCCTGGCCGCGTCTGCAGGCTGTAGGGCACGGGCCTTGCTGAACCGGTGAGCTTGCGACGCGCCTCTGACGAAGTTGGCCTCGACCCACTCCGTCCAAGACTTGGCTCGCTCAGCCGCGAAAGCTGCGAGCCTGGATTCACCTTGATGGATGAGCCAGGCGACCATGTCATGAAAGTTGGCGACTGCAAACACCATCAGCCTTTGTTCAAAGAACTCCGCAACGCACGGGTCCACAGCCGAGAACACCCATTTCTGCTTAAGGAGGCGCCCGAAGAAAGCCTCCGTGTCGTGAATGAGGACGCCGAGCTTGGAGGTCTCCGCTGCCGACGGCCCTCCAGCAGCCCTCACAAGCATGAGCTGCGGGATTTGATGGCTGAGGTTCTCGCTGACTCGCCGCAGGTGTCGCGCCCAGCCAGCCGCCACAGCCCACGCGTCAGTCGCCGTGCACCGATCGGGGGGGCGATGCCGCGGCGGCTGCCAGGCATATTTCTGCCAGCGCATGCGGAGCGGGCCTGCCCTGCTCGTCTGAGCCTGCCAGCCTTCACCAACTAGGTCGCAACGGCCACACAGCTCCTGCTCAATGCCTTGCAGCACGTCGTCCCAGCACTGGCTGAGCTCCGCCTCGCTAGCCGCAGCTCCGATCCGCTCCTGGACCGCGTGCCAGAGCGACGCCGGTGGCCTCGAGCAGCCAGGTGGCGCAATCGCTGCAAAGGCCTTCGGCTCCGACAGCACCCTGCACCAGAGCGCCTTGTCTCTAGCCAGGAGCGGTAGCTGCGCAGGCTTGTGAGGGAAGGTGCCCGCTGCCTCGTAGACCTCTGGCACTTGGATCCGATTCAGAAGGCGGCCGTCCACCCCGAAGTAGTCCTGCTTGGTGCCAGGCAACTTCTGACGGCATGTAGTTGCCGACGTCGACTTCAGCACCGCCCCCACAGAGTTGAACGACGGGGCCGGCAGCTCCGGGGCCATACTGAAATCGCCTCCGAGGATCCAGGCAAATCCACGGCTGGCGATGTCCAGCACGTAGTGGCCCACCGTCCTCAAGATCTCCAGGTTGGAGACATCCA